CCATTGTGGGAGGGGCAGAGACACAAACTACTGGGGGAAATCTCCCCATTGTGGGAGGGGCAGAGACACAAACTACTGGAGGAAATATCACCGTTGTGGGAGGGGCAGAGACACAAACTACTGGGGGAAATCCCATTGTGGGAGGTGCATGGACACAAACTACTGGGTGGAAATTTCACCATTGTGGGAGGGGCAGAGACCTGAACTACTGGGGGGAATCTCACCTTTGTGGGAGGGGCAGAGACACAAACTACTGGGTGAAATGTCACCATTGTGGGAGGGGCAGAGACACAAACTACTGGGTGAAATGTCACCATTGTGGGAGGGGCAGAGACACAAACTACTGGAGGAAATCTCACCATTGTAGGAGGGGCAGAGATACAAACTACTGGGGGCAAAACGCTCTGGACCTTCTAAAAGGTATTATACTAATAATACTGAGACATCTGGAACCGGCAAATATGTCTGAATTAATAATGTAAGTGAACTATATAGAGAATAATTAATCCTATGCAGTTTATGACTGTAGACTGCAGTCTAAGCTGAAAAGAGTCCTAAAATTCAAAAAGGCACCATGTCCAAGTTGTCCTTGTTCTCCATACTGTATCCATCCAGCCATATCACTGACACGGTGAAGGGTAACTCCATCCATGACTTTTTATTAAAAAAAGTTAGATATCATCAGATATTTATTGCCATCTCCCCACTGAATAGATTTCCCCTCACTTTCTCTCATGATAGCTGTCCCAGGAGAGGGACCCAACATTTACCTGACAGAGGATCTAACCCAGCGTTTCTAGACCTTTTTACAGTCATGGCACCTTTTAAAAGTATGAAAAATTTGGAGGCACCGCAGTCCAAAATGTAAATGTACAAATGTAAAACATGACATGTGACCCCTCCAGAATTCATACCAAAACCCCTTATCTAAGATAGGATTCTGGTATAGATTTCAACGGGGGGTTCCCACGCAAAAACACACACAAAAAGTGAATTTAGAGTCCCCCCTTTAGATTAGAAGCCTTCTTCACATGAGACTCCCCACTTCACATCAGGGACCCCCTTTTCACATTAGAATCCCCCTTTCACATTAGGGGCCCCCTTAGCTCCCTTTATATTGAGCACCCTCCTTTCATATCAGAGTCCCCCCCTCTCTTACTAGGAGTCCCCCTTCACATCAGAAGCTCCTTTCACATAAGTAGTCCCCCCTTCACATCAGAAAAAGGAAGCAAGAAGGCACCCCAGGATGCCATAGCACCCTAGTTGAGAAAAGTTGCTCTAACCTGCTCATCTCCAACTCAACAGAAAATATTGGCCCCAGTTCGACTTTTCCTGTTCCTGATGGATTTTTTTAGAGTAAACGTTATTCACTGAGCTTCTCACCTGGGATCCGCCACCAGTACCCCTATCACACGGTCAAATCCAAGCGTGTGGGCAGCCATGCATGCAGCGGCCATCGTGTTGACATTATTGGGGGCCATCGGGCACAAGTCACGAACTGGACCTTCATAAAGAATCGTCCGATCTTGAACAGTTTGGTTTTTCTGCGCTAGGTCACCCTGTAGCTGAAAACTATCTGGGTGTTTTGTCATGGTGATCCTCAGACCCTGTTAGAAATACAAATACAGGAGAGGAATTACTACATGACAATTGTGGGTATACGGCTTTCCTGCCCTTTAGAACACAATGATGTGGACCATTTCCCATTTATCTCACATATATTTGGTTGTTTCTTTTACGTTATTTAGACAATGGAAAAAAAGAGTGCACAAAAAAGCAACCTGAAAAATGTAAAGAGACAGTAACATGCACCCAGTGTAAAAAATGCTAAATTTGCTTTTTTGGTATGTTCTATTGTCCAAAACCGAAGTTAAGACACCAAAAAAAAAAAAAAAACATTAAAAAAATGGTTTAAACTATTTTTCAAATTAAGCCCTTAAAATGCCTAGAACCACCTTAAACATCTACGTTGTTGCCATCCTCACTGACTCACTGCCTAGGCAAAATGTTGCAAAAAATGGATAAATTTGACTGAAATTTAAGCGAGGTAGAATGGAACAATTTTGTTAAAATTTAACAGGACAATTTTTGCTGTAATCTAATTGGACAATTTTACTGAAGTTTAATAGAACAATTTCGCTGAAATTTAATGGGACAATTTTACAGAAAGTTTAATGGGACAATTTTGTTAAAAATTTGATGGTCCACTTTTGTTGAAATTTCAATGGGACAATTTTACTGAAATTTATTGGGACAATTTTACTGAAATTTAATGGGAAAAATTTACTGAAATTTAAAGGGACAATTTTGCTGAAATTTAATGGTACAATGTAGCTTGCGCCTACTCATGAACCCCCAGGTTGCTTCTCTTCTCCACACTTTGACAGTTCCCAGGTCACACAGTTCTCACTTTAAGCGTCCCACGGTCTGCCATTCTCTGGATATCTTCTCCGCCCCATAATGCACCACTGGGAACATACAATGTGTGTCCAGATGTCTTTGCTATTTCCCTCAGTTTCTGTTCAATCTCCGGATCTGATAAAACGGTGGGGGATCCGATCTAGACCGATACGGGAAGCACATGGTACCATGGTGAACAGCATTGCAGCACTCAGACAACATTCTCTTCTGTATACTCTCTATGTACTAAGGCCGCCCAAAGAACTGCAAGTCAGATGTACATGTACAAAGCACACTGAGAGAAATGTATCAAAATTGGAGCAGACAAAATCTGGAGGAGATTTGCACGGCAACCAATCAGCTTCTCTGTCTCATTTTCAAATCTTACCTGAGCAAACTGAAGAGAGATGTTGATTGGTTGCCCTGGGCAACTGCTCCAGATTCTCTCTGCTCCAGTTTTGATAAATTCCCCCCCACTGTCCTCACACATGAAGTTCAGGAAGTGTGCCACCTATGAACAAGAATGTCCTGGAATGTAAAAAGGATGGGGATGGTGGGTGAGGAAGGGATGGCGAGGAAGGAGGGAGTAAGGAAGGGAGGGGATGATGGGAATAGTAGGGGATGGGGAGGAAGGAAGGGAAAGGAAGAAAGGGGATGTGAGGAAGAGAGGGGATGATGAGGACAGAAGAGGATGATGAGAAAGGAAGGGGATGGTAAGGAAGGGATGGGGATAATGAGGAAAGAAGTAGATGATGAGGAAGGAAGGGGATGGTGAGGAATGGGGCAGTGAGGAAGGGAGGTGATAGTGAAGAAGGGAGGGAATGTTGAGGAGGGGAGGGGATGATGAGGAAGGGAGAGGATGGTGAGGAATGGATGGGAATAATGAGGAAGAAGTAGATGATGAGGGGATGTTGAGAGAGGGATGGTGAAGAAGGAGGGATCAAGGAAGGGATGGAATGATGGGAATGGTAGGGAATTGTGAGGAAGTAAGGGGGGAAGAAAGGGGATGGTGAGGAAGAGAGGGGATGATGAAGGGGGATGGTGAGGAAGGAAGGAGATGGCGAGGAAGGGATGGGAATAATGAGGAAATAAGTAGATGATGAGGAAGGAAGGGGATGGTGAGGAAGAGAGGGGATGATGAAGGGGATGGTGAGGAAGGAAGGAGATGGCGAGGAAGGGATGGGGATAATGAGGAAAGAAGTAGATGATGAGGAAGGAAGGGGATGGTGAGGGATGGGGCAGTGAGCAAGGGAGGATATGGAGAAAAAGGAAGGGAATGGTGAGGAGGGGAGGGGAGGGGATGGTGAGGAAGGAAGAGGAGGGTATTATCCCAGGTGGGTGTTCAGCAGGGTCAGTGGTCTCCCATAGTTATGAGACAATAAAATGTTACCACAACCATATATATCCCATCAGTACCTACTTCTGACCCATATACAAGCTATTGAGTCTGAGCACTAAATAAATCTTTATGTTCTTGGCTGTGTTCATGCCAGATGTCTCACACAAATCAGCTCCTGAAGAGACACAAACTACTGCGGGATATCTCACCATTGGAGTGTTTGATAGACGGTAGTTGGTGACCAAAGTATTTCACCCAAAATAGAGACCTCAGTTTTTCTGACTGAACATAAAACAGGAAATACTAGAAATATTTGTTACCATCAAATTGGCCGCAGATAGGAACAGTTCTCCATAGTCTCTGGTTATATCTGGGTGGGCCACTTCCACAATCAGATCTGCCTTGCTATAAAAAAGACTATTCATAGATCATTGCTGATAACATTAGATATTTAGCATTTTCACAACACTATAACTTATATTTATAAACAATTTGCAGATCCGTTCACCCTGGGAATCTCTGTGAATGTTCGTTCTGTGTAAACGGATGCACAAAATTAACATTCTTAGTATATTTTCTTTATAAATCCAATGTATGTTCAAATGTAATTGTGTAATACCACATTATGGCCACTAGAGGGAGCCAATAAGCTTAGGACATAAATATTTCTTTCTTATGCTTCTCAGCTCCATCTAGTGGCCGTTGTGGGGTATTTTACATATAATACATTCGAATTGGAAAGAAAATGCACTAAGAATGTTCGTTTTGGCTGCCATTTGCATAAAATGAATGTTCATGGAGTTTTGCAAGGCAAATGGCTCTGACAATTGTTTACAAATGCACCCCTTAATATTAGAAATGAAAGGAAAACAAATTCTTCTCGGTCTTCATTCAGCCCCTTTACCCCTTCCTCATGTCTCTCAGGTAGTTTGAGATTTCCAGTTCCATAAAGTTCATCGATCAATTTACCTATGACAGTTCTAATAATTGAATTATTTATTGATAGAATAAACATCTTTATCTTGGCTGGTTTTACCGTGACTCAAATTCCAAGAGTCGGTGAAGTTGTAGATGAGGCTCGATGATCCCTTCCAACTTCTCCACTGTTCTGTTCCAAACAAAGGCCAGCTCCAGATTAAACTTCTCTCCTTCTTCTCGGATTTGTTGGACCAAGTAAAGGCCTGTGAGTGGCACATGGCACAAGAGAACCTGTCACTCCGGCGGGGCATAAACTATCACTTGGGCTGAAAACTTAACTATGTGTAATGAATAAAAGATCATTCAAGTTGACCAAATACCCCAAAGTTTATTTCCTGAGAACACAATCCTGTATGACAGAAAACATTTAACCAGCATTCCAGTAAATTATCTGCAAACCTGGGCTGCACACAGTTTAATTGCTGGATATCATACAATCTCATTCCAGGATATCATAAAATCCCATTACTTGGCATTATACAGTCCCATTGCTGGGCATCTTGCAATCCTATATCTGGACATCATACAATCTCATTCCAGGATATCATGCAATCCCATTACTGGGCATCATACAATCCTATAGCTGGCTGGGTACCATGCAATCCTATAGCTGGGCATTATACAATCCCATTACTGGGTATCATGCAATCCTATAGCTGGGCATTATACAATCCCATTACTGGCCATAACACAGTCATATAGCTGGGCATCATACAATTCTATTGCTGGGCATGCCACAATTTCATTGCTAAGCATTATACAACCTCATCACTGGGCATCATGCAATCCCATTCCTGGGATTATACAGTCCAATTGCTGGGCATCATACAATCTCTTCACTGGTCAAGATACAATATTAAAGTTGGGCAGCAATCATTCCTATAGCTGGGCATCATACAATCCCATTGCTGGGCATCTTACAGTCATATAGCTGGGCACCATACAGTCTCATAGCTGGGTATCATACAGTCCCATAGCTGGGCATCATACAATCCCATTCCTGGGCATCATACAATCCTACTGCTGGACATCATACAAGCCCACAGCTGGGCATGAGACAGTCCCATTGCTGGGCATTATACAATCCCATTCCTGGGCATTATACAATCCCATAACTGGGAGTCATACAATCCCATTGCTGGGCATGATACTACTCCATAACTGGGCAACATACAATCCCATAACTGGGAGTCATGCTATCCCATTGCTTGGCATCTTAGAGTCCCATAGCTGGGCATCATACAGTCCCATCGCTGGGCATCATACAATCCCATAGCTGGGCACTATACAATCCTATTGCTGGACATCATACAACCACATAGCTGGACATCCTACAATCCCACTGCTGGACATCATACAAACCCATAGCTGGGCATGACGCAGTCCCATTGCTGGGCATTATACAATCCCATTGCTGGGCATCATACAATCCCATAACTGGGAGTCATACAATCCCATAACTGGGAGTCATACAATCCCATAACTGATGGTCACACAATCCCATTGCTGGGCATCATACAATCCCATAATAACTGGGAGTCATACAATCCCATAACTGGGGGGTCACACAATCCCATTGCTGGGCATCATACAATCCCATAACTGGGGGTCATGCAATCCCATAGCTGGGCATCATGCAATCCTACACATTTAAAAATCTTGGAGCAATTTTGGAAGTGCATCGATATGAATTAAACACTTGTATGTACAGTATACAGTATACCGTAAGTGTCTTGGTGTTTTGGGAATATGATGTGTAAACTGTACAATGGATGCTCGGTGCACAGCATTTTGTCAGGTGCGGATGCCATTTACAACAAGACACTTATAAAATAATGGTCAAACTAAACGCAGGCCGTCAGTCTCCTCTGTTGACAATCTGGTAGCATGGGGTGGGGTGGAATGCTGAAGACATGTTTTCTAATTAAAAAGGTCAGATAGTGTTAATTCTGCTGAAAATAAATTATAATGCAGCCTGGCAGCCACCTATTTGTTACAGGATGCCCCCATGATACTGACGCTTAGAGGGCAGCAGAAGCAGTTTTCTTTCAGCCTGTTTCTCTTTTTTTGGATCTCCATACAGCCCCATCTAAAGAGAACACAGAGGCAGGGGGGAAGGAAGATGTGTCCTTCCTCTGACTTACTTGTTTCTGTGTGTAAATCGGAGCTTGTGCTATTGAACACTGTAAACACAAAAGCTAAGGATAGGCTGAAAATGTGTAAAGGAAAGCTGAACTGTCAAGGTGTGCTCATCGCAATAAGAATTCATGAATTGCGCTGGATTATTTGCATATCTAATCAAACATTACTTACCGACATGGCCAAAACCAACAATCCCGATTCGCCTCATTTCTCCCATAGACATTTGTTGTGGGGTGTGAAAACTGGAACTAGAGAGACACAGATGGCCTTTGTTAGGTAGATGTCACCTGGAGCTGGGGGAGGAGCCATTGCATTTGGTGAGGGAAGGAGGTACACCAATCCAGCCAGTCGAATACCCGCAACAGCTGGTGAGCAGCAAAGTTTTCTGAAGATCTTTAATTCTGTTTTAAAAACTAATCCTGTGCTGTCTGCTGTTCAGAGGGACAGGTTTTTTTTTTTAGAAGTTCACTAAAAAAACGGCGGCATCTCATTGGGTCACGGGGGGTGGCAACAGGTGTGCCCGCCCTTCCAGCCAGAGAGCCCCAGGTTGCTAAGAGCTCTTGCCAATCTATGGCGCTCCGGCCAGTGTGCCGGAGCGTCATAGAGCGGCCAGTGTGTATTTTGCACGGTGCCATCCGTGGTTGTTACTACAAGCACCATCGTTTCTATTGGCCGGTATTGCTGTAAGGTGTGCGGAAAGCACCCTCACCAACTGAAACCCACCCAGCTTAAAGACATCATTGGTTGCCAGCAGCTGAGCGGGATGCTGCAGAAAGTCGAAGCCAGAGGTACCATGCACCACAAGCACCCCCCTCCACACGGTACCCCCCTCACATGCACCCCCTGGTGAAAAGCCTAGGCACACTCCTGCTCATGATACAATGTCAGGTACATAATCAAGATGAACACTGACAATGTTTCACACATGTGGTATCCAAATACTCGGGAGGATTAGCAGAATGTGTCTTGGGGTGTAAAGTATGCCCTTGCTGTGTGAAATATATTTCTAAAATGACAACTTCGTGTAAAAAAAATGTTAATTTTCTTCTTCATTTCCCAACAAAAAAATGCAATCTGAAAAAATGTTCATCATGCCTCCCGGGAGACCATGGGCAGGCCCGGATTCCCCACAAGGCCACCGAGGCCCGGCTTTGGGGCGGCAAGGCGCAGAGGGGAGGCAGCGGTGTCCTTGTGGGGAAGTCCCAGGCACCGGGCGGTAAGTTGCTTTCTACATTTAGTTCTGCTTTGCACAAGCAGGCAGCCGATTGTTCGTTTACATGTCATGTCAGCGATGTCGCCGAGATAACTTGTAAAAAGTCTGCAGCCAGTCGGTCCGTCCGTCTGTCCGTCCGTCTTAAAAGTAACCCTGCCGTTCCGTGTACACAGTGGGAGGGGAGAGCAGTCTTCCCCTCTCACCTGTCACAGGAGTTCCAGCTGTGCTAGAACTCCTGTATTGGAGGTGACAGGGTCAATAAAGAGAACCTGTCACCTCCAATTGCTATCAGAGGGGTTTGTTAGCTCCTGTGTGATAGCAATAAAGTTAGGGG